TTGTGGTGTTTGGGGGACCTTCATTTCGAATGAAAGTGCATGAAGAAGAGATTCATTGGTCAATATCACCAGATGAGGATGGATGAATCTCGTTGTACTGCAGCCGTTTGGCTTTTATACGATATTCATGTTGACGCAGTCCACGAGACTTCCTTCCTCTTCTCGGGCGAAAACGTGCTGAGTTTTCGTATAAAAGCCAAACTGGTGGAGAACGACGAGTTTCATCCGTCCCCATCTGGTGAGATCGACCAATGAATCTCTTCTTCATGCAATTTCATTCGAAATGAAGGTCACCCTAACAATGTTATCTCAGGAGATTCATCGAAACCAACTTTCTCTTCGTATATACAATGTAGTGGCGAACATAGATTCTAAAAGTATATAAAAATTAAGTTATTGACATATAGAGTGCTTAACAGATAAAAGCTTATAACAAGATTAGTAAAATCTTGTGATGAGGTTAACTATTTGTAAATGATTGAATATCCAGTGCTGACCAAGTGCTTCGGTTGGATTAAGCTCAATGTTGATAGACCAACGCTCCCAAGGACTTAAGTCATTTCCAAGTTTCCAACTTCCTTTTCGATGTACAGCAAATTCAAGACATATGCTGCCTTGAACTTTTCCAGAAGAAGAAAGCTCCTTTCGCATAGTTTCAGCGAAGGATGACACAGAATTCAGAACACGCTCAGCAAGCTGAACGGAAGTGACGCATACCTGAATAATAAAAAAGAAGAAGGCTTATACTATTGGTCACATTGATCTAGTTATATTTGAAAAATTATCACGAACTTCCATAGCTCATTATAGATAGGCCTTCTGAATAATTGTAATTAGCTCTTGATTATTATTTAGAATAGAACTTCGAATACAAATAGTATTTAATTATTATGTACTGCATTTTAATACAGATTAACTTCAGCTAAATGGTTTATAAGCTCATTCTGAAATATTCTACCAAAATAAAGAATTCTTGTTTAAGAAGAAAGAGAATACTCAGTTCCATTGGAGGAAGTGATATGTAGATAAGGACAAGAGATAATTTAAAGGTATATCCTTATTTTAAGTGTCCTTTGAGATTAATCAATTGAAACAAATTATAAAAGAACACATTTTTAAGAGGCGAACTGGTATTTCAGGCAGATTTCCGAGTGTTCATTAAGGTACTATCATAAAATATTCAGAGACTACTAATCAGATAGCCCGACCAATGCAAAAAAATTAAATATATGCTTTGGAATGATATTGCAAAAAAAATAATTACAATTACAAGAGGTATGAGATGGTGCGTAAAGAAAACAAATTTATTAACGGTAATTATTCAAATAAATCTAGAAGAAAATTACGATCTTAACATTTTATTGTAAATATAATGACATATTTATTAAGGGCTTAAAAGAAAGAAGGATATAAAAGAATCAAAAGTTTGCACGCAAAATAAAACCTACATAGGTAAGATTCAAATTTTTACAATCTATGTCCTGAACACCCAAATAGGAATTGTAAAATACGCCACCTCCTCTGAAGTCCAACTAAGATATTAATGTATACATATGGCATACTGTCGGAAGTGTTCGATGTAGCAATATGGTATGAAAGATTGCTAGGTACAAAATTATATAAATAGTTTAGAAAGGCAGAAAAGCAAATTAGCTCGTTACACATATAGAGGAAAATTATTGATTATTACCGCAAACTACGTCCTCGATTTCCAAATCCTTTAGTAACTATTAAATCACCATTAATGAACTAAGTTAACTCACGAAGTCTAGACCAATTTCCTTGCAAATCATAGGGGCAAAAGAGAGTTCTATATGAGCGAACAGAGTAATAAAGTCAGGTTGAAAAGATAAAACAAATAATATGCAAACAATGTACACTACGATTCATTGTATTAAATTTTATCTTTATATTTTACGGGCAAAAAGACCAGTAATTTACCAATAAAATATGTGCATAATTTCTTTAACAGAGCACCATTTTTTATTCCTAGTCAAAAACAAAGTAATACGCGATTCACAATTTAAAGTTTGACTTTTCCCTGTTTATTAATAATTAAAAACTTACATGGAGTCTTTTTAAAT